CTTACCTTCGTAGGCCAACTGGTAAAATGACTGTAGTAGAACAAAAATTAGAAGGTGAATATCGATATATTAACTCCAGGTTAATMACTAATTCTGAAGAAATAGCCTTCTACAATGGCAATAACAGGGAAAAACTTATTATGTTAGCCTCGTTTAATAAATTAGTAAGTATTATACTTGGTTTGTAAGTTAATAAATTATCAGAAATTAATTTTTATCACATTTTTTGTATGTTTCAATATTTAATTCTTCTAATCATTAAAATTAGGTAATACTAAAGTTATTTTTAACTTTATTCCTATTAAAATACCAGGTAATTTGTTTATCATGAACCACTCATTATTTCAAAAACTATTAATGTTTTTGGAAAAAAAATTACATCCCCAGTTTCTACCTACTCCATATATTTTTTTTATGTTTAAAGTTGTATCTGTATCATTTTGTAAGTCTTTATTTTATTGAATGACAAAAATTAGTTTTAATTTCATACTCTAAAGTCAAATGTTTTTTTAAAGTATTTCAAAGAATTAAAATTAAATTATCTAAACATTAAAAAATTATATAAACAGAGTACTAAATCAAGTAACTGCATACCATTCCACTTTGATCATCTAAACTTTATTTACTTATATCTCATAAACTTTTAGTCCTAAATTTGATTTTTATTTAATTTAAAAAAAAATATATATATATATAGATAAAATATTCCACTATATTTTATTTAAAAAATGTTTTGTAACATTTCAAACGATGTAGGTATTAAAAATATTTGTACTTGGAATGTCTTACAATTAGAGAATCATCCAGTATACTTTATTTAATGTTCATAACTTATATGTTGTGAAATTAATTGTTTTATAAATTATTTTTACTGAGAAAAGTTTGTCTTTCCTGAATTAAGGAGTTAAAAGATTTATGCTTTAATTGATGGATCTGTATTTTATTTTGATAGTATTTTTTACTTAAATTAAGTCCTCTATATATAATCCTATAATTTAAATTTTTAAATTACATTTATTAATAACATGATAAATGTATAAATAATTGTAATGTATATTTAAAAAAATATTTATTAAAAATAATATTTTTAAATATTTTTAGACAGCTCACTTAAGAAAATTCCTTGAATTTAAAGTATCTATGGGTTTTCTTGATAATATTATCGGAAAATGTAAGTCAAAATTATTTATAATACAATAATTTCAAAATTAGCTAAAATTATATTTGTAAATGTTTTATATTTTCTAGACATTGCTACAGTTGTAGGATTTTATGCTGTTAGTATACCTTTTATGAAACGTACATCGCCTTTATCTAATCTTTCACAAAATGAACGTTTTCGAGTAAGTACAGTTTTAACAATTTATAATAAAACACTTATGTATTGCAATAAAATAAGTACAGTAGGACATACATTATCCAAACGTTATATGAATCCTCCATTATCTGAACAAATATAAAATGTAATTTAAGTAGTTATGTTTAATACATTATAAATATCAACATAATATCATAATATTATACATGTATTTTTGTGATATGTATGAACATATTAAAGTTATGCCAGCATCTGAACTTTCACGTTTCTAAAACTATTTGCAGTCCCATTAAGTTTAGATAATGAAGGTTCAAATATCAATAATATCAATAATTGATTTAAACAACAAAACAACAAATACCTATGTTACTCTAAAAAATCTCATTATTAATTTTATATTTCATTGAAATCATAACTAATTTAAAGTTAAGTTTTACAAAGAAGTAGAGACTCGCTGCTCTGTGTACTTTTAATATTCAATATTTTAATTACAGAATTACTATACAATGGGTCGTATGTTGGTAAAATTAGCTGAAGCTATTGGCCGCTTAGTGTTAGCTGGCCGTGATATGACACGTTTAGCTGGATTCACTGCCAGAGTTACTGAAATCATGACTGTACTCAAAGATCTTAATAAAGGACATTATGTACGAACTATGTTGACTGATAATAATACGCTTAAAGAAAAGAAACTTGTACCAAACTCTGGTCGTATTATTACTAAAGATAACATTATTAAGTTTGATAAAGTACCTCTTGTGACACCAAATGGTGATATACTAGTTGAAGAATTATCATTTGAAGTTACATCAGGCATGAATGTATTAGTATGTGGGCCAAATGGTTGTGGAAAATCATCATTGTTCAGAATACTTGGTGAATTGTGGCCTCTTTTTGGTGGAACCTTAACAAAACCTCCAAAGGGCAAACTTTTTTACATTCCACAAAAACCATATATGACTTTAGGTACACTACGGGATCAAGTTATATATCCGCACACTAAGTATGTRTAAATTAAATCCTCTTATTTAATATTATAAACTATAAAATCATTATATTGTTATAGATGAGTCTCCATCAATCATAGTTATTGATTTGTAATATTTTTTTTTAAGGGAGGAAATGCAGCGTCGTAGAAAAACCGATTCAGACATTGCCAATCATTTAGAACGTGTACAATTATCATATTTATTGCAAAGAGATCAAGGTTGGGATACTGTTGCTGATTGGATGGATGTTTTGTCTGGTGGAGAAAAACAACGTATTGCCATGGCTAGATTGTTCTATCATCAACCACAATTCGCAATACTGGATGAATGTACAAGTGCAGTTAGTGTTGATGTTGAAGGTTCTATGTATCAATATTGTCGTGATGTTGGTATTTCACTTTTCACGGTTAGCCATCGAAAATCTTTGTGGAAACATCACGATGTAAGTATTATACTCAGAATTGTTGAAATACAGTATTATATTCTTTAGAATATTTTGTCGGTATAATATTAGTTTGTGTACTACAACTTACACATTAGAACTGTGGTGGAATATACATCTAAAATTTACTTAATATAATATATACTTATATAGTAGAAATACTGGTGTAAATTAACTAGTAACACAACTAAATAATAAAAATAGATAAACCAAAGATAAAAATAACTAACTAAAATATAATGTTCAATATGATTTTTCACTTTTATTCATTTTATTTTTTTCATGTGTTAGTCTTAATACTTCCATTATCATTTATTTAAACTAGACACATTAAGAAGACGCCTACCCGCATATATTATCTCCGTCTTACAAGTGCGTAACATAGAAAATTTATGCTCAGTAGATCACGTTTAGCTTTGTTAGTTTAAAAATTAAAAAGAATTGACTTCTTATAAAATTTAAAGTTAAGAYCATTATCTGTTTTCGTATGATGRGGTTTTTGCAATAGTTCAATTTTAAGTGTGTTATGAGCATTTTTAATTTATGCTATACTAAAATATTGAGCTATCATTAAAACCCAACATTTGAACACAGATAGTGTTTTTACCTTTAAATATTATAAGAGATCAATTCACTTTAATTTTTWAGCGTGATCTGCTTAGCATAAATTTGTTATGTTGCATACTTTTAAGACGGATACAACACGTGTATGTATATTGTCATCGTAATAAAACAATTTGAAACATCAGAATTTTAATTTTAATATTCTACTTATTGATAATACTTTTGTTGACATGCATTATATTAATTTCAGTTGTCTCTATAACTTGAATTTTAACAGGGATAAAAATAAGTTTGATTTAAATATTTTTCAAGCTATATATCTCAACAAATACTGCATTGAGTTTAAAAGAATTTTCAATCGACTAAACATTTAATTTATTGAGAATAATGTAATGACCAATTTTCTACTAATAACAAAATGTTCATCATAAAACACAAACTTTAACTTTTAAAAATGATTTAAATGATTTTGCTATTTACGTCATTTATTTTGCATATTTCTTTGCATACCTACTTATACGATAAAATTAGTTATGTAATGAAGAAGAGTAAAATCTTCTTATAATGGAATCACCTAGTTCAGGGGTGGCAAACCTTTTTTGGGTCTAGTGCAAAATTTTTGCAATCAAGTGTTTGACAATTTTTCATATGCCTAAAGTTTGTAAATACTCAACAGAACATAATAAATATAGTGATAATATAGAAACATACCTTATCAATTTTATCCAAGAATATTATAATTGTAAAAATATATGTAATTTGTTTCTTATAAATGTTTTATAAGCAACATTTTATGAATAGCGCAATTTAAATTTTTTTGCGTGCCATGCGTTTGCCACGCCTGACATAGTTCCAACTTATTTTTCTATTACAAAAGAGATTCCGACTTACTCTTATAGTGGTTTTGTTATAATGACATTTTACTGTAAATGATAAATGTATTTTATCTTTTTTTTTTGTATATATATAATTTTCAACCAATTTATTATATTTTTTTGTTTTTATAAAAAAAAATGTACATTACAATTTAATATTTATTTCATTAATTCAACTATTTATACTTCTGTGCCATATAAATAATATTAATACTATGGATTGTTTAACATGTAATTTACAGGTAATAATATGTACTTAAAATCATTATACTGAGAAATATATTAATTATATTTTATATCCTATTAAATGATAATCAAATTGTTATCTTGTTGCAGTATTATTTACAAATGGACGGAAGAGGATTATTTCAATTTAACAAAATTGATTCCGACACAGAGGAATTTGGTTCATGAGTCTCCGTAACTGATATTATAGTTTTAAAAACAATTATTTACATACATATTATAATATGTATATGTAATAATTTGGTTCTATCTTGCCTGATTCTTAAACTTGTGCCTATTTGTTTTGGTGTTAATAGATCAAATTTCTGTTTATATTTTTTAATGTTTATAATATTATATTGTCAAGGTATTCTATCAAGTTTTTGTAACACTAATTTTTTTTACCAATCAATTAAACCAATAGAATGGTTTTARATTTATTTATTGTATCTTACAAAATATATCATTTTTGTATTTGTGTTATAACTAAGTTTTTTAATTTATTATATGCTATTCATTTTGTTAAGTACATGACTACAATTTATGAAAGAAAAAACTTTCCCCATTACATTAAAAAAAAAAAAAATGGTTTATCATAGTTAAAACTATATTGAAATTGATCTATAACCACAACATTTATCTTAGTTCTACAACGAATTACACAATATTTTGCTTTTACAATAATATAAAATGGTGAACTAAATTAATTATAAGATTTTATTAAGTGTTTGTTTTTAACATAAATTTATTGCTCGAGTGTATCAAAGAATTGAATATGTTATATAATCATTCCTTATGTTTTTGAAAATTGTTTATCAATAATTTGTAATCAATATACTTAACTTCTTAAATCAGCATGGATCAGAATCATGGACCAACAAACTACTTAGTAGGTACTTACTAATGTTTATATAAAAAAAAAAAAATATACAAAAATTGAATTAAATATTACATGTTTATTAAGTACCTACGTACATACATACAAAGATTATAGAAAAATATTTTGTATCAAAATACATCATAGGCTATTGTAGAAAAAAATCCAATCGTAAATCTGTACTTATAAAATGGAAAAGGTTTGATATCAGTAGTCTAATGACACTTAGATTGGTTTGAACAGTTCACATCAACGACTGTCCACCGGATTATGAAAGATATTAGCATTATTCATGATGACAAGACGAAAATAGACCGCATAGGTACGCACATACAATCTTACGTGATATATATATAAAAAAAAAATCTAAAATAATGATATTAATAATAATAGGTTTTAACTTTTAAGGATCACAGTGTTATTTATGCGCTCAAACGGTATTCGCGCCTACCGCTTGTTCCTCGCGCCCTTTATGGTAAAACGTCTCCAAAAGCTTGGTTTCCGTATCGAAGGTTCGTCATCGTCCAGTTCTCTGGTCGGTGACCCGTGTCCAGAATCGCTTTCGTCCGCGTTGTAACGACGGCCGGYCATTGTTGAGTCGTTTCCTCCGCGTAAAAAGTCTAGAAAATTCGATTCTGACTTCATTTTTCCTGAAAGTAATAAAAAAAATATATATATTATTTATTATGTTAATTATAAAAAAATAATGAATCTGTTTAACACCCAACTTGTAGGTGATTGTGATAATCTTACAAATTAACATTCAGTATCTATAACTATATGGTGGAGTTATACCTATATTACCTACAACATATTAGGTATGTATTATAAAATCCGTTACATGGACATAATAAGCAAAGACGTAATTGGCAAATTAAGAAATTATTAGGTGGACTGTAGAAACACGAAAACAAAATAGCCACTTTATAACTATAAAGTATAGGTATCTATGCCATTAGATACCTATTAATTTATAACGCATAGGTACGTTTATGGTACTTTCATATCAAATTATAAAAGAGGTAGGTACCTTTATAGGTATTTACCTCGTCCTAATGGCTTTTAATGATATAGTAATAATTTGAAAATTATGATTTCAGCTACCTACGAATATTATATCATGTGATCATGTCATAACTATATAAAAAAAAGTCTCGGTTGAAACTTAATTAGTGATCATGAAAGATATTGAAGTCATTCACAAGCTAGAATATAAGTTCACAAAGCCAAAAGGTTAGGGGGAGACTTCCGGCCAAATGTAAACTCCTACAGGAATAACCTTTTTACCTGAATCATCAATAAATGTAAACTCCTACACTAATAACCTTTTAAAATGTTTACCTGAAAATCAAAGATACTGTAATCTCCTATGTAGACATTTTTTCCCTTTAAAAAATATGGTAATATTACTTAAATTTACGATTTTGAAGTTGAAAAGCWCAAAAAACTAAAAATTATCGTAACTTTGAAATATTGAAGATTGCTTTGTATCTGATTTGCTAGAAAATATGCCATCTTACGATAAAGTCCAACAATATTGCGACTATTTATCTGAAAATTATATTTTTTCGTTTTCATTATTTCCTCCAAAATTGTGGTCTTCTAATGAAACTACCTACTATGATGCATGTGAATCATTTCATTYAAGATTTAATAGTAGTTTTTATCATCATCATCCAAATCTCCATTTATTCATGAAAGTTTTGAAAKATKTACARACCGAAACATACATTAAAATTAGAAGCAGTCATACAACACAACGCAGACAGACAAAAACAATTTCGAAATATTAATTCATACATAAACAAAAAAATAAATATATACAAGGAGAAATTTTACGTTTAGAGTTTATCTCCAAAGTATGCCACAAAAATAGATTAATTTAATTTTTGTTTTAAACGTAAATGATTATGAGTTATGACTATTGTTTTATTAACATTTGTATCATATTTTTCAAACCATTTTTGTTTAATGTGTTAATATATTGCAAGACTGATATTTCTTACAGCAATACGAGTGATATTAATTTTTTGTAGGAGTTAACACTATCWTTCATAGGAGTTAATGCTATCTTTTGTAGAAGTTAACACTACATTTGTAGGAYTTTACCATTCCCCAGACTTACGCTTCGSCATTTTCGAAGAAACCCCTGATCAATTCAGGTAAGTAGAAAGTAGGTATATATTACTAGGTACTAAAAAATAAACGAATCATATCATGTGTAGTTAAACGTGTTGCTTACTTCCTTATTCGCATACTATTATAACTATAGTTATAAGTTATGTTATTTTATAATTATTGTATTACTTTTAGGTACCTACGTAATAATATGCTTAAATATAATAAAATATATCAAAATATATCAAAATGTAGTAACCTGTGCAGTATTGAGTACACATTTTTAAATATTATTTCTAAACATGAGTTCCCATATAGTGCCAAACATTATAAAGTACGTTATAATACCKGAATGGAAAAAAATTCCATTTAACGGCACATTTATGAAATCAGTTAAGCCTTATTGCACACAYGATGAAAAAAAAATAATCATACCTAAAACTTAGGAGGTATTTAATTCAAATTTTAAACTTGCTATACAGCTGGTCTAGCCATTGTTTGCTGATTGGCCATCACAGGCTAAGCATTATTGAYCTACCACGGACACGTAATCCCGGCGCCTTAGACGATAGTAGACTAGTAGACACCTATGTGGCCCTATGGTATTTTTAGGTATAAGCAGGGCCCCACAAAGGGGGAGGGTCAGGAGGACACATGGTACTGGGGCTCAGCGCGTTCATAGAAATAATTACTAMGATATATGTATATTAGAAAAATGTTAAAAATCAATTGTCATTTAAGAGGGGTCCGGATTTAGTTCTGTACCAGAGCCAAAAATATGATGTGGGGGGCCTGGGTGCAGTCTATCTTAGGTACCTTTCTTTTTGCCAGGCATGCCGAAGCTCAGACTCCTGGAGTTGAGTTCTGCCTTGAGCTGCTCCGGCGGTATGTTTTCCACTTTGAACTCGTCCGGGTCCTCGACGAACGCTTGTTGCAGATCTCGCATGATTTTCTTCCTGATGGTTTTCTTCATGGACAGGTGACGTTCCAGGTGCTTCACGTCGTCCTCGAACGTGGCTGCGCACTTGGTCTGCCGGCTTCCGCCGCTCTTGTGCCGTTTCTTCTTGGACCCCTTGGCCGGCAACAAGTCCTCCTCGCTGGCCGAGCCCATCGATATGGCGCTGTCGGTGCCGGCCGCACTGACGCCACCCAACGAATTTCGATCGTCGCTCTTCACGTCCAACCGCCGCAGCTCGTTTGGCAGTCCGTCGTCGTCGTCATCGACCCCGCCGAATATGTCCCTCAAATGTGGTATGTTTCGCTCGCTCGTCATTTTCTGCGAACAATCAATAATATTGATAGACTATAATAATATAACACTACACTACGTCTATATAGCCGCAATACAGGCACCCAAGTATATCGTATATATATACATAATATATATTATATTCCGTATTTTTAATGTTTATATTATTATTTTTAATAATATTTTGTATTACATTATAATAATATTGTACGTAGATAATTATGAATAATAGGTAGGTTAATAGGTATGGGAAGTTTGCTGACGAAGAGTTTACAATCTTGTTTATTCCAGACTAGTATAATTAGGTTTAAATACAATGTATAATTAGTTTGGGGCATCTAAAAAAAATTATATTTAATAATACTTATAAATGGCTGTTGTATGAAGTTTTTATAATTAAAAATTCATGCGATCAAAAAATTTTAAAAAAGTTATTAAGTAATTTCCTTACAGTATTACAGTATAGGTACCTAACCTATATCTATACCCATTCAAACGGATAGAAAAAGTAACCAACACTGATAAAGTCTATAATTTTATATGCAGCAGGAAATTCAATTTAATTTTAGCTTTTAATATTAATTAACTTTAATTGAGTACGGTACTTAATATTTAAATATGACTAAAAAATGGGCGCGGAAATCTTAATATTATAGTTTTGAACATAATTCTAAATGCGGTACCTATTATGTATAATAATTATACACATTATATTAATTATAATAATATGCACAGAGTATAAATTGCGTGATGCATTATTAAAGTAATTATAATTAAATATTGAAAAAAAATATCATAACAAAAAATATTGATTATTAAATTTTGAAGTAAATAATGCCTGCTAATAATATATGAGTACTACAATAAATGGCTGATTCTTGATCATCTAAAAATAAATAAATAGTAATTACCCAAAAKAATTATTTATAATGTAGCATTAGCATGATAATAAAATGTGGACAATAAGTAGTTAAACAGTAGTTGTTTGGTGAAATACTTTTTAGCTTAATGCTATAGTTTTAAAGTYGATGAAATGTCTAATTACCTAACTCAATAATAATTTTGAATAGTTAAAGAATCTATTTTAACAACTCAGTTTTTTCTAGTTAATTTGGAACAGAATACTTTAAGTTAAAATCATGTTTTTGTTTAATCTCTCTGTACAAATAACACAATGGTCAATGATTAGATTTATAGATGTCAATTTAGACCAATTCATTTTGATAAAAACTAAAAAACGTAAGTATAATTAT